GACCAGGTTGCTCAAAGCCTCATCCAGCCTGGCCTTGAACACTTCCAGGGATGGGGCATCTACATCTTCTCTGGGCAACCTGTTCCAGTGCCTCCACCCTCTCTGGGAAGAAATTCTTCCTGATATCCAATATAACCCTCCCGACTTTCAATTTAAACCCATTACCCTTTTCCTGTCACTACAGGCCCTTGTAAAAAGTCCCCTCCCAGCTTCCTTGTAGGCCCCTTCAGGTACTGGAAGGTGCTATAAGGTCTCCTCGGAGCCTTCTCTTCTCCAGGCTGAACAAGCCCAACTCTCTCAGCCTATCCCCACAGGAGAGGTGCTCCAGCCCTCTCTGATGTTACTCCATTTGTGGGTAACATAAATCCATGCTGCTGATGGTATAGGAGCATGCTGTGCTGAAACAGAACTTACCAGCCCCATCGAACTGCAGATGGCAAAACAAGCTGCTAATTCTCCTTGCAGATTTATGCAAATTTGCTAAAAATCTTAAATATTTTTAAAGTTTTCCATGGCTTTTAAAAACGTTTTTATATGCTTAATGAAAACAAAACTGATCTTACAAACTTAAATTCTTGTCTCTGTTCTAATAGTTTTGGAAACAATTCTTTTTTTTTTGCCCCCCAAAACAGGCCACAAACAGGCACTTTCCTCAGACCGTAACAGGAGCTTACTTGAGTGGGGTTCGAGAAGCGAGCAAAATAGCAGCATTTTAAGTACTGAAATTTTGTGTTTATAGATATATTTTTAATTGTCTTCTGTGGGTAAAACGATCTTCAAGTTTCTTATTTGCTGCCTTTTTCCCAAGTGGTACTTAAATAGTATATGGTACCTGAAGATGAAGAATTTATCTTCCTTTTCCTCTTTCACCCGTGCCCCCCCTTTTATAAGCCCTGATGATTCATACTGTGGGATTTGGGGTTTTTTTCCAGTTAAAAGTATGGTATTACTAGCAAGAGTGACATAGGAGTTCCTGGCCATATAGCTCAGCTAACAGAACTTTCGTTGAGAACCCTCTTCTGTGTGGCTCAAGTCACGCTACTGCAAGCCTTTGTTTCTGAAGGTCGGATTAAATAAAACAAGACCAAGGTAACATACAGCACAGCATTACAAATGCTGGCAGTTAGTAATGGTGATAGGAACTTTCCATTAACTGTGCTTCTCAGGTTGATTATGTTCAGACTTGCTCCCAAAAGCCTGAATAGTCAAGACAAATTCTAGAATTAGTGTAGGAAGGAACTCGACTATCATTCTTTCCACTAGCAATCGATAACCTATTCTACAGTATTTTCCATATTCTTAGCCTCCACTAAGTGGGTTTGGGATATCAAGTTTGTTCCTTTAAATCAGACGGCTGGAACAGTTTACAGTGCAATCGTAGAAAGGTTATTGTCGCTAATGAAAGCTTGAAAAATTAACCTTTACTTTAAAAAACTTTGAAAGATTCTCTCTGATACTTATTCAGAGGATTTCCTGTTACAGTAACAGGCATTTGCTTAGTGCTTCTGATCACATAGGAACAGGATAAAATTCCTCTATTTCTATGCTTGTTTTGAAAATAAATTTCCAAATTCATTCAGGCTGAGTAGAAGAACTGTCTACCAGTGAGCGCACAGTAGGGGGTGAAGGACTGTAAATTCCTAATGGCTCATTCAGCTTTTGTATTTAAAGAATAAGTGAAGATGAATGAGGAAAAATATTAACACTTTTATGAAGGGCTGAAACAAGGTGGCTTGCACTTTGACTTGAAGGTTGGTGGGATTTTTTGGTGTTTTGTTTCCTTTTATTATTAAAGTATTAATAAAGACAACTTGACAGAGTAATTCAGTAAGGGCTAAACATCTATCTAAAAGATTTTCCATGGTACAGGGAAGAAAAAAGTATTTTTCAGTAGAAATAAGGCAGGCACAACCAGGATATCTGTTGTAATACCACTAAAATGGTATTAATGAAAAAAAAAATTAAACCCAACTTTTAGATCTCTTCTCCCACACCTTCCCTATAACATTACTGCAATGACCTCATGATTTCTGGAAAGAAAGTAAGCACACATTCTTCCCCCCCATCATTCTCCTGCACAGGTTCTCTTCTTTTTCTAATCTCTTCATTTAAGAATGACACAGCAAACTTCTTTTGAGTTACAGTGCTTATTTCCATAAAGCTGTATCCTTGGGAAAGAAAAAAAAAAAGCGCAACCTTAAGAAAAATCCTGCTGAATAAACGCAATTCTCTTTAAGTACCTAGTATTTTGGTTTTAGACTAGCTATGATATTGTTAAATACCTTTATTTAATCTCTAATTTACAAGGTGAAGATGTTTATATAACTAGATTTTTTTTTCAGATATATATTCTGTTCTGCTTCTTAAAGCTGAATTATATGGATTAATAGGAAAAGTGTAACTGTTCATGATTTTCCTCCTCATAAATGTTAGTATGTACAGTATTAAAGTATTTCCAAGGTTAAATTGTAATTTAAAGGCTACAAAAAGCAAGACAAAGCCCTCTGATGATAAAAGATAATCAGACATCAGATTTTGCTTTTGGTAATCATTTGCACTTTGTTAATTTCATATATTACAGGCCAACTTATAGCATAACTGGGAAATACTGAGAGCTGTGTGTGTCTGAGTTCCAGGTTTCTTTCCTGTTTACAGTTTATTACAAAATTATTAGGAGAAGCTTCTGAAGGTGGGGAAAAAAACTTGTTACTACAAGCCCAAAACATTATATTCACTGGCTGCTTCAGTTGACCTTGGTCAAAGCTTCAGTCAGATTAATAAACAACGTATGAACACATCACCTTTTAGGTAGGAATGGTCTGGAAAGTTGAGATGAGCATTCATTTCTGCAGTCCAGAGTATGTGTGAACACACACTTGATTTTAGGCATAGCCTTCCATCCTCTTAATTTGTACTTGGGGTTTTAAATCTATCTACAACTTTGCAGGTAGATAAATGCTATATTCTAGAGAACAGAGATGGACGTGAACAAATACTGTTGCATTTGGCTTTAGCTGCTGCACACTTATAGCATTAAAAAAAAAGGATAACATGATAAATTTACCAATGGCCTAGTCTATTATTTGTATATTGTTTTGGTGCCAAGGCACTTAAACTGTGTTGCGCTGCACTTAAGTTTGAGGAGTAAATAAAATACATATGTTCCATTTTAATTTACGTTCATTTGAAATGTATTAGAACATCAGGCTGGTTCTGAGACTTGATTGTTAATTAATGTTTCCCCCAAATTTTTTTAATACCTATGTTAAAATTTCAAGCATGTATGTGTTTTTTTTCTTTTGTGTTTAATTTATTCCCTGCAAATAAAGAACTGGGGAATGTTCTCTTTGGGTAGATTTGTTTAAATGTTATCAGAAATATTTGAATGCAGAGCATGATCTGTTACACTTCAACTCTTCTGTGTGACTATGTTATGGCAGCAGAATAAAACTGGAAAGTATCCACAGGATGCTTGTGTTTGGGGTTTTATTTTCCTTTTAAATTTAACTAGTGGCTAAGCCTACTTTTGTGTTACATTTGAAATGTATTTAAGATTTCATATAGACAATTCCTCAGACAATTCCTGCTCTACAGTCACCTTTCAGCTCTTTGCTGTTGTTTAGACAATACCGTAACAGTCGGTGGCTTTGGCCTCAAAAATTTACAAAGCAATTCATAGACTTGTATCAGACTATTTTCCTTAGCCAGAGGAAATTTAAGATAATTGTTTAGAAGCACTCCATAGCCAGAAAAATCACCAGAGAACCACTTAATGCTTTTCACTGAATAATTATAGAGTGAACACTATATACAACACCACCTGGTGAGGTTGTGGTCCTGAAAGCTTCCTCCTTGAACAGATCACTGTAAGCATTTGCGACTGACTACACACCCAAAACATTTAAAATACAAACAACGACCAATCCGGATAACACTTATCTACATCGTTGTTCTTGAATGGGGGTTAGACGTTCATTTAGTGTGAGTCTGACTGCAGGCAACTTAAAAAATCCTACTCCCTGTGAAGGTTTATTTCAAACACTAACACATGTAGGTCTGAACCAGTGACAGTGTTACTGCAGGGAACATTGACTGCTTACCCCTAACCCTGTCGTACTTGATTAGCAGTTCAAAGTTCATAACCCGAGGACATGTCTTGTTCTCCTAAAGCTAACTCCCTGCAGGAAATTACTTTCATTACACCTGAGACAGTTCTTGAGAAAATGTCAGCATCATTCTAAGATTAAGAATCTTGAAAACAGAAACAAAGTACTAATGCTGCTTTTAAAATAAAGTACAAATCAGTAAATTTCATCACACTCCAGAAGAATTATATACTTTTACGGAAATAGTTGGTGTGATAGATTTTTCTTCTTTCCCTTTTAGCCCAGCTGTCTGAAATTTAGATGAGAAATAAAAGTGAAGCAGCAAGTCTGCAACTCCATTCACTGCACTAGGTCAGGTGAAAAGGCACAGTGAGATAGGTAACACTGCCATCCTCTTATCCCCAGGACTTCTGGAGTTTAAGCCCCTACATGGAACAGGGCAAACACAAAGCTGGTTGCTCAGGGCCCTGACAGGTTGAGTTCCAAACAACTGCTATTCCACAAGCTCTCCAGGCCCTGTTTCTGTGTGACCCCTTCTCATGGTGAAGCTTTTCTTCCCCTAACGCATAATTGTAATTTCCCTGGCAGCCAGCTTGTGTCTGTCACCTCCTGTCCTCTCACTGTGCACCTCCAAGCAGAGCCTGGCCTTGCCTTATCAACATTCAAGATATTTCTTAACTTTTTTTCAGCAAGTGAAACATGGATTTTACTAAATTTCTTGCTGCAAGTTTTCAGACAGCATTCTGGTACCTTACGAATTTTCTGCTGTACTCCCTAAATGATGGGAACTAAAGTAACAGCCACCAGAAGTCATTTCAGGAATGCTTTTATCCAACTCAGTCAAAGCTACTTGACTATAGTCACTTTCTGATTTGGAAACAGGAATAATTATTTACCCAAGTGGTCACGAGCCACTCTCTGCCAAACAGCTCCAGAGCTAATAAACCTTCCTGGAGTCACCATGCTGACTGCCAGGGGCATTGTTTGGCCAGCTTAAGCACTGGAGTCCCAAAGGGTTTTTTTTTTTGGTTTTTTTTTTAAGTCCAGCTTAGTGACAGCTATTCTAAACCCAGACATTCATAGACCTTGCTTTGTCAGCTGCCTTGTAACAGGATGGTGCAGGAAGAACAGATGCTATAAGCAGCCTGCCGGGTCCAAGGTGTTTCTAGAATACAATGGTCAGGACAATCTTAAGCGTCTGGAAGGTAGACAGACGCCCGAACACTTTATTAAGTTACCTTTTATCCAGTTAGCCAGTTTATTTTTTTATGAGCATCTCTGTACAGGGTTTAGAGCACTGATCAGCTGTGGTTTTAGTCCAATAGCATCAGGATAAGCAAGACATTTTATTTACCTCTCAATATTGTCTCGCAGCCTTCTCCCCAGTCACAGAAAGTACTGGAATCTTGTATCAGCTGCAGCCAGACTAGCATGGATTAGCAGGGAAACAGCTCATGTATTTCTTCTCCACTGAGCTGTAGTTAAGAGATTCAAACAAAGTATTTGAAGGATGCCGAGCTAATTTCCCTTCCATCTGTGCAATTCCAAAGTAGCAAGTAATGCATATATACAATAAATAGAAGTATGCCCTCCTTTTGCAAGTTTTTGATACAATTTACACTATTAAAAATGTTTATACTTGGGAGTCACTCATCTTAAAAACACTTCCTGACCCCCATAATTAAAACTGACTGGTATATTTACATAAAAATCACAAGGCAGTTCAAGAATTGTAGAATATCCAATATCCAAAAACAACAAAAAAAATTGACACAAGTAACTTGCCGCTTTTGAGTAGGACTTGGAAATTTTTGATGTTTTCACCTGAAAGTTAGTAAGTGTTCTTCATGCTAAGATAGATCAGAGAAAAAACAAACAAAAGCAAACCTCACAGAAGATAAAAATCTTACCCTGGTGCAGGGACATGTATTTCAGCAATACTATCTGTAGACATTTGAACCAGGCTTGAATAATTTCTACCAGGTGAGATAAAAGACAACCACCTTGATTCTATTTAGATTTTTTTACTATACATTTAAGCAAATGTTAGATCAAAACTGATTTACATTTTTGTGAAAGACATTTATTTAATACAAAACCCCCCCATTACATTCAGCCTCATTATAAATGATTACAAGCAGTGGAATTCGAAAAGTGTGTGAAGTCTACCTGGCTGAATATTTTCAGAATTTAGAACCCTAATTCATTTATGAACCCTTATTCCTCAGCTGTACAATAATAAAATTCAAAAAAATACACTTTATCTTTCCAGCAATACTACAGTCAGAGGGATACCGTGCTCATGGCATTAATGGCAGCCCACACTTTGGCAACCAATAGTTCCATGATTTTAAGCGTACGACTGACTCCCCATGTTTGCAACGCGATGTATGGAGAACAGAAACCTAAACAACAAAAACGTACGCAAAGAGTTCACTTTGATCCATAAAACTGTAGGCCAAAGTTCAAGACTGCAGGCTTAAAAGTACCACTGTCCATGTGAGGCAGCAAGGCTCAGGTTCAGAAGAGCTTTCCTATGCAGAAGGGAGCTTAACCACACACATCAACGCTGCCTGGTTCGGAAGCCCCACTGTTGACTTCCAAAGCTATCAAGCCTCCCAGCCGTATGTACGTCCTGGATACCCACTTCTGAGATGTGAGGCCATCAGGTCAAGACACTAAAGTAAAAGACTTTTTGCAAAGTGGACTTCAGAAATTTTCCTACAGCCTTTGGAGATACTTCATTTACTATGTCAAGCCATTGAGACAAATGTATCTGTAGTCTTTCGTACAAAGTTAAACGCTGAAAAGCTTAAGTATAAAAACTACAGTTGCTGTACAAGGTAAGATGGGATAAACATCGTAAAACCTCGACTTGTCTGCAATTTCTTGAAACTTCTGCATACCGCTTGTCATCATAGCCTCACTGCTGAACACTGACATTTCATGTCATAAATCCTTAGATAACAAGTTTAAAAAGCTGATTTGCACAAAAGAAATCTGAAATAACTTTATATACACAACAGAAAACCTTTTCAAAGTACAAAAATAACATCTATATGCCAATTCATTACCATGCTTTGACAATTCTCTCAGTGCCTACCCATGCAAGAGGGTAATCTAGATGTAGAATAATTGTGTATTTGTAGAATGTATCAGAATATAAAAATTGTTAACATGTGACTGACTTGTTATTTTCAGAATGGGTATGTATTCAAAATATCTTTATAACCAATACTGCAATATTCCAGTCTCTGCATGTGTATGTGCAGATAAGCAGCTTTCATCTCACTTGATTTTAAAATCTCCTGCAAACTAGTAATCCACACTAAAAAGCTACGATGGTTCTAATTAATCTAGTTATACAAAGCAATTCAAAATGTACAAAAACTATAAAAAAGGGAACATTTATTGTTTATTGCCATGCACAAAACTTAAGTATGTTCAGCTAAAAACTGCATCAAATGCAGTTTTGTTAGGGAAAAAAAAAAAAGGAGATACACAAAGCAATTTACATCAATACTCTTAACATTAGATCAGCAGAATCAGCTCTGAACTAAATACCACAAGGGTAAGACACATTCCTTTTGCTGGTGCCTATCAGATCTTCAAATCCATGGGAACATAGAAGCAGGAATCTTCATTTCCCACAGTCAAATCAGATCATGAAATCAACTGAAACGAGAAGTGCATTAGTTTTCTCCCTTCTCTCACTGCAGCTACATACAGCCTCTTGTTTTGCATCAGATCATCACGAAAACACACTACTTTTGTGATCACACAAACCCAAGAACATCCCTAGAGCAGACAAATTGCTCTCTTTATGCCTTTGCTGACAGTGACACATGTATGCAAGACATAGAAGATGTAACTATTTCTAGATATCCATATATTAGCATTGCTAACGAAGCCACAAGAGAAAGAAAGGTTACTTTATTGACTTCACTAACTCTGGTTCCATTTTTAGTTTTGGGGCAAGCAAAAGTAATTGAACTTGAAAATTTTCTTACAAATTACTGACCACTCACTGGACAATAAACCCTATGACATGAGTACATTAGATCAGGCCTAATCTTCAGTGCAGCAAACTGAAAGGAAACATTGTAACTGTCCTACCAGGAACACATACACAGAAAAGATGTCTATTTATACTCTTTTGCCTTTTTTCATTGCCAGAGCTTGCAGGTCTGCAGAACTCACACAACTTCATGCACTGTTACCTACAAATGTATGTGGTCAGTGCATGAATTACAGTGCACCTTGCAGCCACAGCTGTAATTGAAAGCAAAGGCATAGTTTTCAGAGAGTAAAAGTAATAAAAAGTGATGATAGCTTTAATTTTAGGTCTGCTTACCAAAGAAATTCACAAGTAGTAGTGGTATGCTAAGTCTGAAGCAGTTATTTTTGAAAGAGGGATAAAAACCACACCAAACCAAAAAAGCAGAGCCAGAGTTCAGGTTTATCAGAGCACTAAACCCCCAGTACTATACAGGAGGCTATTAAAACTAGCGTAACAGCATACCATACCATTTTCTAATAGGCTGAAGGAAAAAATACCCCAACCCAGAATGTTTTCGAAATGATAAAAGTCTTTACCTCTTTGACTGTTTCTTTAATGAAGTCTTTCCTGTCAGATAAATCATAACTAGGATAGTTTTCATATACCTAAAAAAAATTTTAAAAAAAGTAAAAACAAAACCAAACCTCAAATTACTCATTCCAATTACTCATTCAACATTTTGTATAACTAGAAGAAACTTAAATGAAATCAGGGCAAAAACTGGTGTGTTACAACTGCCAAAACATGCTGTTAGTTATGGAAAGTGACAAGCTTATTTTCCTGTCCTTATTTTGACGACATAAATATTTAAATACATGCTTTTTTTTTTTTTGTTTGGCCACTGACTAAACTAGGATTATCAATTCTTCACATCACCAAATTGGAACACCCAGCTTACTATGTCAGACAAAAAAGAATTTTCCAATGTTTGTCTTACATGTTAAGTAGTCAGATACCCCTGCATTAGTGTAGAAAGGTAAACAAATATCCCAAGGCTTGCTTATTTTTTGGAAAAAAGTAAAATTGTGATCCTTTCAAGGGACCACTAAAACAGACAACACATTTGAGTGCTATTCTACAACTATTCTTTGTTTAACTGGGTGGGAGAGGACCAATCAAAGAAAAAACAGATGCCAACACTGACAACCAATGCAAAATATTTATTTTTCAATCTACCAAACTTCAGACTTGTAAGAATGACTATAAATGTGACAGAAAGCTTGTACAGAATATAAACATAGTTTTCTCATAGGAATAACTCCTGGTTTAATTTTCTCAAGACAATTTCTTGTTTAAACATGTGAGTTAACCAACGGCAGAACATGTCAAGGTAACAGTGTTGCCTGTATTTTGGTCACTTTCCCCCAACTTTCCCTTTCTGGCCACATGGTCCCTTCCTGGCATCTGCTCTGACAATTAATGGATTCCTTGCTGAACTGATTCAATTCACTAATTCAGCTGAGAACTGTTTGTTTCTGCTGACAGATGAGAGTTGAATGGACTCTTAAAGAGAACGTATGAAGAATGAGAGGAAGGTGGAACAGGAGACGTACAGAGAACAGCCCTCCCCTTCTGACAGTGGCAAGCTGCTGCACCGCTTCAACATCTTAAATATTTTCACTTTAATACATGGCAGTTGTTTTGGAGGCAATAGTGCTACTTTACATGTAGCCAATTTTTCTTTGGAGATTTCCCTTCTAACGTTGGGTATCAGCGTTGCATATCTTAAGATTAAACCTCTCCTTGTTATAGCTGTTGGCAAGTAAATAAATCACCGCAAATGGTTCACTTTTTTCTGAACCACTGGGCAGAGTGTAAACCTCTTTTTCTGAAATGATGACAAAAGTCAGTTCACAGGCAACCCACTGCCTGAAAAGAGATTGCAAAATCGTATTTGCTTACCTCCTTGCAAATTTGTTTCATTGTGACCTCCTCCAAGTTTGCATTGGCCAGCAATTTCTTGACGGTTTCCTTAAGTTCTTCATCTGTGGGTGGTTTCTTCAGCTTTTTAATTAAAGGTTCGTCATCTGAACTATTCTCAGACTCACTTTCTAAATATGAAGAATAATTTGAATTGTAATAAAAGATTTTCAATTTCTCTGCTTTCTTCCTCCAAAATAGAAGCAATCAGAACTTCCCCCTAACATCTGATGCAGATTTTCTCTCTTAAAATAAACATCTTGCCAGATCATCCATTTAAAAGCAAAGCTAATGCTATCAGTACTAGATTTATTTATGAATCTGCATCATTGTTGACAAACTGTAAGTTCAATCAATATGTACTCTAGAAAGTATGGGACAGCTTAAATTAACCTACCAAACTAAAAAAAGATTTATTACAGCAATTGTAAATTGAGGTATTACAGCCCTAAAAAGTACTTCCGCACCTTAAAAAGGAGTTTGACTCCCCGCCCCCCCCCAGCACCACTGCCCACTAGGATCTTGTCATTTTGCAATCCCGTATTACTGAACATATCAGAAACATCATGACAACAAATGAAGACAGTCATAAAGGAAGTTAAGTGAAGAGGCATAGGACACTCCTACAATCTTTTCCAGCAGCAAAAAAACTAGACTGAATGACTCTAACATCCATGCAGTTCCTCTACTGCCAACAAGACAAAATTCAGAGACAGCGCCAAGCAATCTAGATAATGACCTTGATTTTTCTACTGCAAACACTCAAACCAGAAACACAGTAGCATTAAAGAAAAATTATGAATTTTTATGAATTACAAAAGATAGATGCAAAACATACGTAACTTTTAAGATATGAATATGTTGATGACAAAATATACACACAAACACAGTCAGCCACATTAGTACTGCCAGCAGCCAACCTGAAAATATATGGAGTTCAACACAGGCCAGTTTACTCTGCTAAGAAATAAGGCTATGAAAGAGGTTTAGGATAATTTAACCATTCACAGCATAGCATAGTTTAACCATTCCTTTTGTTAATACAGTGTCAAGCAGGGTAATTAATCTGAACTGATGTCTCTGCTATAGCATACATATGCTGATGTTGGCATTAAATGAAGTATGTTTGCAGTACGGATATATGCTGTATTAGTAACTCATACTACAATTGTGACAGAGACACGGTAGTTATCTCAGAGTGCCAGAGAACTTATGGTGGGAAAGGACCTCTGGTCATCATCTGGTTTAAGCCCCTACTTGGAACAGGGCAAACGCAAAGCTGGTTGCTCAGGGCCCTGCCAGGTTGAGTTCCAAATATCTCCAACAACTGCTATTCCACAAGCTCTCCAAGCCGTTTCTGTGTGACCCCTTCTCACGGGGAAGCTTTTCTTCCCCTAATGTGTAATTGTAATTTCCCTGGCAGCAGCTTGCGTCTGTCACCTCCTGTCCTCTCACTGTGCACCTCCAAGCAGGGCCTGGCCTTGCCTTCCCCATACTCTCCCATCTGGTAGTTGCAGGCTGCAGAATGAACCCCCTTTATCCATCTCTTAAGGCTGAACAAGCCCAGCTCGCTCTGCCTTTCCTCCTACATCATGTGCTCCAGCCCCTTGCCACCATGGTGTCCCTTCGCTGGACTCACTCCAGAACATCCATGCTGATCTTGCACCAGGGAGACCAAAGCTGGACACAGCACTCCCAAGGCAGGCTCACAAGTGCTGAACAGGGGGAAATAACTGTTTCCGTCAACCTGCTGCCTACATGTTTGCTGAAGCAGCCCAGAGTGCTGTCTGTGGTCCTTATCCTAAGGGTGCACTGCTGAACTGGGTTCAATTTCTTGTCTGTGAGCATCACCTGACCCTACCCAGGTCCTTTTCTGCAACTGCTCAGAAAGAAATCACTGTCCCCACCTGTGCTGCTGCAATCTTTACACAGGTATTAAGGAACTCCGTGTATGAAACAACCTTTTATGTGTATCACCAGATAAAAGAAAAGCAATAGAAAGAGGACGCATGTAGAACCTATATCCATATTAAAAGAAAACACATGAAGCTGCTGAGCAAAAGACATGCACAGTGGGATACATACTACTGGATCAATGATGAGATTCATGTCAAGTCACTATAGAGGCACCAAAGGAATTTTGCTAACATTCTCCCAGCAGAAGGCTGGGACTAGGCTGACACTTTCAGTTCATGAGCAAATAAGTGTATATATATGTACACAACAGAATACATTAAGTATGCCCAAACCAATAACTTTTTTTTAATTACTATTGCAAGGAAAGAAACATCAAGTAGCAAGCCAACCATTCACCAAGTTCTATTTTCTTTCACAATTAGATGCAAAAGCTTGCTTTCTAATAAGCATCCCAGTTAAGCTACAAGACTATGATTAAAGATTTAAAGCATTTACCTTTTCTAGAACTGTTCTGATTTTTTTTAGTAGTGCTGCTATCTGCCTTCTTGACATTCGCACCCTTCACAGCTTTCTTGGTTTTGGAAGTCATCTTTTTAGATTTTTCTCTTTTAGATGTTTTTCTAGGAGGCTATAAAGAAGTAAAACAGAAGACTAAAACAATGTTTTTTATCCAAACAATCCATACCCCTTTTCCACAATCGAAAGTATCCCTGCTGTCAGTACAAACTAAAAAAATTTCTGTATTTTATTAGCAATGTCTACCCCAATACCATAGAGGGAGTGCGTCCACAAAGAGTATTTCCTCTTTTTAAAAAACAGCACATTGTCTTTCTATGTGAACTCTTAAGCTCAAGCAGTTACAACTTTTTAATGATACTACTAGTTTGGTTCTACTACAAGTTTCCATTCATAATTATAAGTAATTAAGCTTAGAAAATCACTTCTAAGATGTTCCTTTAAAAAAGGAAATGGAATGTTGTATTCAATTACTTCTAGATGCTATAGCTAAGACTACATGCAGTTAATTATTTTTGCACTAGTTGAGGAGAACTACATTAGCTAATCCATAATTTGGGTTTACTAGTCACAATAACTGGCCAAAAAATTATTGCATTAAGGTTAACATCAACAGAAAAAATTGGGAGCATAAATACGTACAGTATACACGAGTGCACTGCGTTTTTGTCACAATTTAAATGCGTGCTCAACACACAAAATCTTCAGATAGCACTTTTGACAAAGCTGTAAACTTTCCTCACAGAAACAAACATGGAACACTGACCAGGAATAAACCATACTTTAGAGAAAGAACATAATGAAACAAAACAACAGTAGTTACTAAATTCAGAATGCCAATTTATATTTTGAATGGCAATGTAGTCAACCAAGTAAACTAACATATCTAAGCAATTAAGATTAGTTCATATAATTTAACTGCTTCTCCCATTAGTACCTGGGGCATCTCATGAAACTAATATTTAATACAGCAGATTATATTTATTTGTTTTGGAATGCTCAGTTATAGCTGCAGCTGCTCTGCAGTGTTAAATGAAGGATAAAGATTTTCGCTGTTGAAATTCAGAAAATACACTCAAGGATTGCCCCATTTCTAAATAAATGCTTGTAGTTTCCACTTTTCAGGTTTCAGGTTTCTCTTAAAGCTCCATCACCAGCTACAAAATCAGAAGTTAAACCCAGCACTCATATTTCAGCTTTTTAGAAAAATTATGCTCCCCTAGCACACAAAATATTTCAGATACCTTTTGCTTCCAGGTAACTAAGATTTTTGATTTGTGCTGTTCAAACTTGCAATCAAGACAGACAGGGGATTTGAGGACCATCTATTGCAGCCATGCCATGCCTAAAATACCAAGAGACCTGGGGCAGCAAAGCAGATATGCTGCGTCCATCTTCCCACCTGTAGTATGTTTAAGGGTGTTCTAAAACCTAACTTTTTTTTTAATGCTGCAATCTTAAAGCTGTACAAGCACAGACATGTTCTATTTCATTACTTCCTATATTCAAACTAATCTGACATAGTATTGTTTTTCTAATAATTAAGCTTTTACTCCATACAAGTCAACTTCAGTTTCCAAAGAATTTGGGTATGTCTGCCAGGCAACAGCCGAGTAGATTAACCCCTACCTTCTGAAAGAAGGCAAAAGACCAACCAGTTAGATCCATGGGGTTTACTGTGAGGTTTTGTGTTTGTCGGGATTTTTGTCATTTTTTAGCGTTTTGTTTTTTTAAATAACTGAATTCTTGAAAAATTTTCTAAAAGACAACTCCTGCCTCTGAAAGTGATATTCCTTTCCTTGCAGTAGAAAGATTGTGCTGCTGAAGAGATGAACAAATACAAAATTAACTTTTAGTATTTCAGACCTTTTTCAACTTGCCATTTGTGGGGAAACAAAAAAGCACGCTAAGAATTAAGTTGCTTCACAGAGGCATGGGGAATTTCCTTGGACCATCTTTTGATAGTGACTAACACCTATCAAAATGACAGTGACAAAACAGACTGCTGAAGTAGCATAAATTGGCCTTTCAACACCCTGTTGAAAGTTACTATTTTCTATAGCTCAGACTACTTATTTAACAGCCTGTCACACTTCCACTGCAACAGACAGAATGTAATCCAAGGAAAAAATGGACTTATATTACAGCCAAAGGTTCCATAGCTTATATAAGGAATTTCCTTGGACACCCAGAGTCGACTAATTGCTGTTTGTTACAGGGCTCTATTAAGGCTAAAAAGGCAGTCCCATCTAAATCAAAATACAAGATTATGCTCCCCTAGCACACAAATATTTCAGGTATCCTTTGCTTCCAGATAACCAAGATTTTTAGTTTGTGAGTTGCAATCAAGAGAGACAGGCGATCCTGAGGACAATCTATTACAGCCAGCTTGTACCTCCTTTTAATTTCTCTTTTTTTCCAGGCTTCAGGCATACAGACAAATCAGTGCACACTTGTACTCGCACTCCATGTTTTGTGTCTATTCGGTAAGTAAGTACAGGACTGAAATGGAATGCGCAGAGAAAGGTATTTTGCTTTTAAATACCGCGTACACCTCATTTTTCTTTTACTATGCAAGGCTAAAAAGTTTCAAAGAAAACAAAGAACAGAAAATACAGTGAGATGAGAACACTTTGGAGATTGCAAGGATCTTTGCTTACTATGTTGCTCGCTTTATCTTTGCAATCCAAGACACAGAACCCTAAAAGAGAGATTAGGACATAAAATCCAGGAGAAATATGGAACCAAGATCCAAAACCAATGCAGTCAGGTAGGTTAGGGACCTCTACTGAATTCAAAGTTGAGTCCTAGGTATCCAATCAAACCCTACACCATAAAAAAAGATAGATAGATATTGGGAATTCTTATGAAATTACATTACTAAAGTCATCACAAGATGATACCAGAAATACAATCAATTATGTTTGAAATCCTAGCTGCCCCAAAATGGCACACAGTATACGCTTTTATAAAGGTACATATATACATCCAAGAATCAGGACCTTTGCTTATCTTACTGATTCTCCAACTTTAGTGCACTAAGAAATTACAAAAATCTCTTATAAACTGCAGATGTGTTCCCTCTTCTTTCAAACCATTCATTCAGTTAAGCATCACTTACCCCCAACTCTGCATGTTCCAGGAATTACCAAATCAATAACAGCCCAGCCATGTAATGGAAAATTGCAGACAAATGTTTTTAGCCCTAAGTTGAAAACCAAACAAAATCATTACCTCATCTTCACTTTCTTTTTCTTCAGAAGAATCATCCTTTTCCTTCTTTTCATCTTCTTCACTACTGGATTCATCTGACAAGATCTCTGGGCACTTGGTGCGTTTTGCTTTCCTTGTTGTTCCAGTACTACTGCGTTCTTTTTTGCCACCTTTGCTTGGTGGTTTTTTGGACTTTGGCAATGGCTGAGACAGGGATGTGTGTTATCCAAGTGGGAAAACAAAAGGGAATTTTAAAAAGATAAACTATTCCAAATCACATGAAAGAACATGAGGTCTAAATTTAATAAAATGGTCCTGACTTTTGTTATATACTACAACCATAACATTTTGTGGTAAGCAGAAAGTCATTACAGAGATGAAGCTGAGTGAAATGAAATTTCAGTTCTGTGCTAAGCACCCCTTCCAATCCCCTAACCAAAATAATCTTCAAAGGTTGGGGGTTAGGGAAGGGAAGCAGGAAAGAAACTAGGAGGAACCTTTTACCTGCCTATGCCCTCCTAACCCGTAATAGCAAGCTTTTTCTTCTGGTAACAAATCAGCTGACAACTATTCTGAAGACTTAAAGACTTCTGTCACATCTTAGGCAAAACTTCATTTTGTTGTCACTCAGTACCAGTGTCCCTAAGGCAGCAGGCAGACTGCTTATTCACATAACTTATCAGGGTTGGCTGGGAATAAATTTTATTTCCTGAGCAACAGTCTAACTACTGAAGTATTGCTCTTAAAAACTCAAAAGTCCAAGAAGATTAATACTTGAGTTTAGTAGTCTTGGCAGCTGAATCTAGCACATTAGCACATACTAGTTAAAGCAAGTTTTCCTATCCTTGCAACAAATTCCATTTTGTGATGACCAAACGCGATCACATACACTTATCAACTTGTAGCACAACAAGATAAGATCTGACAGCCTACTCTCCTGTCCTTTTTGTGTTTAACTTCCTTGCTCTGACACTTTTTTTTCCCCTCTGCTCACACGTCTATTCCCCTCCATTCACCCTCAAAGCAGAAGCTATTTATGGTGTTTGGGTATAGATAACTCCTTAGTTTCATATGTTGACCTCATACACTTGTCTACGCCAACAGTGTATAACGGGTGCACCTACAGATAGAAACTGTATGTTTACGTAAGTCCTCATCCCATTATGTATGCCTGCAACAGAAGAGCTACTCTCTTTCAAGAAGCCAGTTACTTCAGGAAGTTAGAACAGTCCCTGCATAACCACTAGTAACAAGCAAATAATAAGAAATAGACACAGCTGCATTTTTCATCAGAACAGAGCCATAAAAGCAAGCGTAACAACCTGTATCTCACCTTGCCTGAAGATTTTGGGTGCATTAAGAAGTTTAAGATTCTGGTTACCAGCTCACTGTTAACTCCTGATCTTTCCAAGTCAAGAACTTCACAGATACTTTTCAACATTGCATTTCTAAATCTGGAGAGGGGTGGGGGAAAAAAAAAAAGAAAAAAAAAATCAGTATCATATCCCTAACAATGGGTCAACATTTAACTGCTATGACAACCTGACAAGAGACGTGAAGATATATACAATTATGTTTCCAATCCTATCTATAGTCAAGCAAAGAACCACCACCATATTACATGAAGTAGAATGAAACAAAATTCCCAGATCTGCATGTGTGTAAAGTAAGATTATATATAAAGTTACAAAAATCTTTGTAAAAAAGTCTTCCCCAGAATCTCTCCTAATCTACCACACTGGAAATAATCAATCTTGGCAGATAAATCCAATTGGTACAAGCCTTGAACTCCAAGGGGGCGGGAGGTCTCCCTTTATTTTCTCTGGCTCCTTACAGAGGTACCTCTGATGAAGACAAAAGGTTAAGAAACTTGACCCAACATCCATCCCATGTAGTTCAACTGGATTTTGAACCAATTGTCCATCTTTACAACATTGTCCCACCAGTATTAAAAAAAGTGCAGAGTCAAATTCTGTGAGGGTGTGACATCGGAATGCTATCTTAGCAGGATTAAGATCAAAACCAAAAACCAACCAATCAAAAAAACCAAACCCTACTTATTCTACCTGTTATATCCCTTCAAATGCTTATGCCTGTCTCTTCACTCATTTTGCGCAAGGCCACATGAAAAGTGAATTTCATCATCTGACCATTTTTTACAAGGTTCATAGCTACTTTTGGTACTAAAAGTCAAAGAAAACTTATTTTTCACTATTTAAAAAGTCAGTGCAACCTTTTCATGGTGGCCTGCAACTTCTCTGAAGTAGCATTTACTTTCAGACTGTCCCTTTAAACTCAAACTCTTAAAGGGGCTGAACAACTTTGCTCTCCCACGTTTTAAGGCATGGGAACAGGAAATCTTAAATGGTTGGATGCATCTTCCTGCCTCAAAACATAGTTCATCCACCATCCGTCCAATGACAAAGTCAAATCTTTCATTTCTCTACACAAGGTTATAAAAAAATTTGTGCCATCTTAACATGGAGACGGCTTTCCTATTAAGCTGTTAGGGATACACTGGATACTTTTAAGGTATTCCTACAGAATCAAAAGTCAGTCTTTTACATTTTAAAAGACAGTATTACCATAGAGTTAAAACTGATTAATTTGTTAACAGATTTAAAAACTGTATAGCATCGAAGTTTCTGTTTCAAACTTTCAAGACTTTGTATTCTTAAATTAGGATTTTATGGCTCTATTGCTGCTTTAACCAAAATTCCTTATGACTTGTGTAACACAGAGCATTTTTTCTTGTATTTTAACTTAGGTTAGAAGTAACATATACAAGAATAAGTATTAACTCCCAAATCCTTTCATATATTTAATGCTTTGAAGGTACATCTACATGTAACAGCAAACAATGTACTAAGTATGAAAATACAGTGTTGAATAAACTAGTGCACACAAGTTTTGAGTCAGTAACTTCCATAGCAAGTAGTTTTGTCTTACAAAATCCAAGACGCTAATCCACACTCAACCTCAACTCTCATTCCATCTAGTTTATAACCTGAACAGTAAGATTCTGCAAAATAAATATTGTCCTTTGTTCATCTTGGTTAATGCTGTTGAAACATGATGACATGCACATGTTCAGTGTGGGCAGAAATCAACCACATAGAATAAATTAATGATCTAATCAGCAGTGTTTCATATGTAACTATAAAGAGCAGCAGAACTTACCACAGTTACACAAGCACACAAGGTTCAGTACCTTGATATAAAAGTGACAATGCAACCAGTTTACACAATATTTGCTGAAGACTGAAGGGTAACAAAACTTAGGTAGCAGTACTTTCACATAGAAAATATGAAAAAAACACAAATTCAAGAATAGTATTTTGTAACCTTTTGCAGGTAAGGGGAAACATTATCTAATCAAACCTGTGGGAAACAGTCAAAACTCCCATCCTGCGACAGAGTTTGCCTTGTAGATTCATGTGTATTTGACAAACCCTATTCCTTGAAAACTGCATATCTGAGGAAGAAAGATTTGCAAATTCCAAATTTGGAGGCATTCCCACCACAAACAAACTGACACTAAAAAAAAAATCTAATTTAGAATCAATTGTGTAGATATTATTAGTTTTTTCATTTGTAACAACTAGCTGCAAATATGCAAGAGCATTTTTAATCCCTTTCAGTACAGTCAAAACCAAGCTCCACCATCTTCTCCAGTTAACAGAGAAGCAGCTTAAGTGGGGAGATGGTAAAAAAAAAAAAATAAAGAAAAAAGAAAAAAGATTTGTTAGACCAGTTGCTACAGCAATTGTAGAATAGGACTGTATGTTTAATATACAATAAGCAGAAGTGGCTTTGATTCTGAAGAAGGAAGGTTTTGAGACATAGAAGTATGCAAGTTTGCATGATAAACAGAACACAGGGTATTCACAACACTATGCTTGCCCTGGAGAAACAGAGTTTTCCTCACACTCGGCAGAAGAATCTGCTAGTTAGCATACAGCAGAAAACCAGGACTATAGGAACTGTGAATATAATGTTCAACAAATTAACTCTTCTTAATACATTTCAAGTCGTCTTAAGAGATCATTTTGTGTAATCAAAATAAGCTCACAAACAGATCATAGAGCTATAGGAAACAGCCACTCAGCTTAAAGTTTAAATTTAATCTGAAGCAAAATTTTGAAAACAAAAAGGAATGTATAGCATGAGCCAAGCTATGTTAAATAGCAATAGAGATCATTACTTTTTTAACATTTCTTCCTTCTTCTTGTATTGGTCACTTCCTTTCTCAAATGGGAACCCACTGAACTGACCCACATTCTTCTTTAGGGAAGCAACCTAGAACAGAACACAGATTACATTCTATTGCATATAGTTTAAAAAATGTTTCATCCCATTACCTTTAACTTTTCATTAAGAAAAAAAACTATTCTAGCAGTTAGCTTTCTGTTGACAAAAAGTTATACTCTACAGGGATCATACCTGCCTTTATCACGTGATAGCCAAACTACAATTAAGTTCTTGTGACCTCGGTACTTTTAATTCTTTTTAGTAACTTAACAGGTAAAATGACCTGCCATTTCAAGCTTGTTTAGAACGTACTGCACGGTTATTTACAGGTTTGCATGACCATAATCATATGAAGCCTGCTGCATGCTTTGTACCATGTAATTTATTATAGAATAGTGCATTTTATTTTGTCTTACATAGGACCATGATTGTACTGTTGAATCTGTTCTTTAGCATGACTGATTTTTGCATTTACACACCACCCAATTTACAAGTTCTGTCATTACACCTGCAGTCTGAACAGGGGTTGAACTTGCATTGCGACAGCCCCTGTAATGGGAAAAATGCTTCCATCAAGATCCCAAATATATTCAAGTTCTTCTGTTTCACTCCATCTCCTTTTACCAACAAAAAAGTTAAAGGCACCCCCAATTTTTTTCTTCTTCTGAGATCTTTATAACACTATCAAGAATAATTTGGACTCACTTTCAATAGTTGTACAAATTTTGTTCGTGGTGTTTTTCTCCATTAGTTTATAACTTTACCAATGCTAAACCCCTTTTCCAAAAGCAATTATCTTTCTCCAGCACCTAAAGAAAACTTGCAGATGGTATTGGTATGTTTTATTAAATATATTAATTGTGGTCCAAAGCACATACCAGATGTACATACAAGACAACGGATCTTCACTATATTAAACAGCATTCTGAGCTCCCAACAATTCTCATTAAGTGTAATTTTGGATGAAACCATACAGATATATTTCCAAACTGTATGCATTTTGAAGCAAATAAATATATTCTCATATCTTTGGACTCTAAGCATTGGGATGCTGGACTTTCCAAGACGTCTGTGTCCAAAAGACTAAATATCGGAGAGGTGAGCAAAGGGGGGTAGAATTGCAACCAAATAAGCAGTATGGGAGTGAAGGGCGAGAGCTGTATTTCAATAGTAGTTGTGTCTATAATATGATTTCGGAGTGTTAAATATCAGTTTACAGTTATGTCATTTGCACATAATTATAGAACTGCAAATAGTTGTGTGTCTACTAGTTGGTTGGATTATCTATTAATGATTGATTTAATAATCAATAATAACAGCAGTATCATTCAGTTGTTAGTTTCTAAGCAGCGTGTTGCATAATCAATAAATTATATATAGTCTTTTAAATCAGTTATGTCTCAGATCTGCAATCCAAAGCGGGAAAGATGGATTCTTAAGCAACGGTATCCCAGTACCTCCAACCCAAATATGGTAGAAAAGTTACTGGTTTCGTGAAGGGTAAATGGATGCAGTTTTGTCAACTTCCTTGGTAAAGCTAGTTAAATCAGAAAGTTACATCATTCTCTCATTGTACCTTTCCTATCAAACAATTAAATTCTACTGCAAGACAATCCAAAGGTTTGCAAAACTCTGTATGCAATGAGTCAGAAAGTGTCTTGTCTGGTTTACTGCCACAGTGAATAAATAGCATAATTGACACAAGTAGGTTTTAATGAATCTATACTGTTCTCTTCCTGAATACTTGAGGCAAAAGATCTTTCTTTGCCATTTAAACAAGCACTGCATGTGCAGCAATAGTCTGAGACATTACAACTAGCATGCATCTGTACTAATACTATTCAGTGCCTGGTTTCTGTGCTAAGCAGTTCAAGTTTCCAAAATAGAGACTAAAAAAAAAAATCATATAAATACTTTAAGTGTATTGAAATAGTTAGATTTCATCTGCCTTAACTTCTCTACATCTGTTTATTTTTCTTAGCAAGGAAAATGGGGCATATTTACTCTGAAACCTAAGAGTATCTTTTTACTGATACCTAAGGGGCTCCAAGAAAGATTTGATATTGTATTTTAAGTTTCATCCTTAAATACAAGAGCAAGCACATCAGTTTTTAACACACTGTAATTGCCTTAGATAAATGTGACAAAAATCACTATTAAGATTTTATGTACAATGTAGTTTTACTTCCTACTGCTTTGTGCAAACTAAAGAAGAAAATGACTAGGTAAATAGCACTGTATTAAAACCCACTAACAGGTTTCAAACAAACAAAACAGAAGTACTAAGAAAAAGTTATGTTGAATAATAGAACTACATGCAGTATTTTTACTGTAATCTACGTGTCAGCAGCTTTTAGCGTGTAAACCACAAATTATTTCCAACCCATCCTCACAAGGCAAACCACCCCTCCCCTCATTGAAAAAAATAAATCTATATTCAAGTGGACTTAAAATTCAGTACACCTTTCCATAGGATTTTTATTGGGAGAGTAGTTTACAGGAGTAAAAAATCATGAGGTTGCTCAACTGGTCCTGCAATATTCATTTTCTAAGTAGTTTGTAATAAATGACACTTAAGAATTAGATCCAGATGTGCAAATGCAAAAGACTATACACTAGACATTTTCACTATGCATGAGAACTAATAGATACACAAGATTGATCTTAAGTTCTTACAGTGCCTGGCCTGTTGTAGAGGAGTTTGTGCAGGTTCCTAAGTTCATCCGTCTTCTTTTTACTCAGAAAGAATTGTATCCTTTCAATTTCACAGAGTTTTTGTCCTTTTCCTGAAACAGTTAAAATCAATCATGCAATTCATCATATTCATATTTATCTATGTGTTTGTAACTTCAAATACGTAACATCTGAGTGGAGACCAGTGACG